GTGCGTCAGGCATATTTATTAAAGGGTCCATGTCAACCTGTTCTTCACGATTTTCCCCAAACTGAAATGGGTAATGTGAAAAGGAGGTTTGTTGCAAATTGGTTTAAAAAGTATCCTGATTGGCTAGAGTACAACATATCTAAAGATAGTGCATACCTGCTTGTATTGTTATCTTTTTAGAACACCGGGTAATCAAAGTGGGGGAGATGCATTTGTTAGCGAAGGTTTTAGAAATTGGAGAAAGTTGGAGAAATTTGATCAACATATTGGCAAGCATAATAGTTCTCATAATATAGCCAAATTGAAATGTAATGATGTAGCAAATCAAAACCTCATCGGGAGTGTTTCCGCTTGATTCAGTGGAAAGCAAAAAATGGATAAAGTTGAATATCAAACTCGATTGAATGCAGCTGTTGATTGTGTTCGTTTCTTGTTAAGGCAGGGTTTAGCATTTCGAGGTCATGATGAATCTGACACGTCTTCTAATCGTGGTAATTATCTAGAACTTTTCATTGGCTTGCTGAGCATAGCGAACTTGTAGAAAAAGTTTCATTTCATAATGCTCCTAAAAATTGTCAGTTAACGTCCTCCTTTATCCAAAAAGATATTTGTGTTGCTGTTGCTGTTGAAACTACTTGTGCGATAGTTAAGGATATTGGAGAGGCATATTTTACAGTCTTGGTTGATGAGTCTCGTGATGTGTCAGTGAAAGAGGAGATGGCAGTTGTTTTACGATATGTAAATAAAGAGGGGAAGATATTGGAACGGTTTCTCGGTATTGAACATGTTTCGAGCACATCTGCAACTTCACTTAAGGGTGCCATTGACCGTCTATTCTCTCATCATGGTTTAAGCATATCAAAATTGCGTGGTCAAGGCTACAACAGGGCTAGTAATATGCAAGGTGAGCTTAAAGGCTTGAAAACCCTTATTTTGCAAGAAAATTCATGTGCATTCTATGTTCATTATTTTGCTCATCAACTTTAATTGAGTTTAGTAGTTGTGGAAAAATATTATTTTCAAGTTCAATATCTTTTTGAGATTACATCGAAGGTTATGAATGTTGTGGGTGGGTCTTGTAAGAGGCAGGATATTCTTAGAGCCAAACAACATGAAAAAGTTGTAGAAGCTCTAAGAAAAGGGGAAATTCTTAGCGGCCGTGGATTGAATCAAGGAACTAATCTGCAACGAGCAGGTGATACTCGTTGGGGTTCACATTATGGTACTCTAGTTAAGCTTGCTTCCATGTTTCAGTCCGTAACTGAAGTATCAAAACAAAGATTGCAGTCAATGAGAGAAGAAGGATGGGATGGTCTTTTGAATGAAGTTTCTTCATTTTGTTCTATACACGAAGTCGATGTCCTAAATATGGATGAAAAATTCATAGCTCCTGGTCGTCCAAAACGAAGAAGTCAAGAAAAAACAAACTTGGTTCATTTTCGTTGTGAATTATTTTATGCTATTTTGGATAAACAACTTGTGGAGCTTAATAGTCGTTTTTCTTTGTGGAGCTTAATAGTCGTTTTTCTGAGGCAAATACCGAGTTACTTCTTTGTGTGGGATGCTTAAATCCTAGGGATTCTTTCAAAGCTTTCGATAGGGAAAGGTTGATAAGGTTTGCACAGCTTTACCCTAATAATTTTTCTCTGTATGATATTATGGTGCTTGATAATGAACTTGAAAATTATATTATGGATGTGCGTACGAGCAGTGACTTTTCGGTGGTTGATGGGATTTCAAACCTTGCTGTTAAAATGGTGGAAACTAGAAGGCACGTGGCATATCATTTGGTCTATATGCTTATTACTTTAACGTTGACAATGCCGATTGCTACTGCTACTGTGGAGAGAGCATTTTCTGCAATGAAGATCATAAAAAATTGACTACGCAACCGAATGGAAGATGATTGGCTCAACGCTTGTATGGTTCCGTACGTTGATAAAGATGTTTTTGATAAAATTAGTAATGAAACTATTATGCAACGATTTCAGACCATGTCATCTCGTCGTGAACAATTGTAATTATAAGGTAACTTTTTTTATGCATTTTTGTTATCTTTTTACAAATTATGTCATGTCTTTTGGCCCCCTTAAGTAATTCTTTGGTTTCGCCCTTGGCTATGGAAGTCACGAAATCTGTGGATCTTCCAAGAAAAGCATATGCTAGCTAGAGTAGCTGTTTTTGGCGGCAACTAAGGACTGGATGGAGTTCCTTGCAGCATCTTCCTAGCTGTTCTTTGTTTCTCTTTATATTATTTTTAGTAGCTGTTGGTTTCATTTTGTGGTTTTCAGGAGTTGTTGGATAGTCCTTGTTTTTTTTCCCTATATGTCTTGGAATAGGTCAAATATGTTAAGCATTTCCAGTGATGTAGTTGGCTATTCTATCGTTAGTTTTCTATTTGATGTTCATATCCCGTTTGTGGGATTTCTAGGCCGCTTTATATCGAGTCCTCCCTAGTTTCTTTTCGGTTGTTGGTCGCATTTGTATTCGAATATTATTTCCTTTTGAGTTATGATATAACTTCTCTATCCTTTTGTAAA